CAATTAGGACAAACCAATTAGATCCTGTTTTTGTTACAAAGATTGAAGAAGCCGTAACTAATATTTTTGAAGACTTGTCTCCAAAATATCTTGATGCTTCAGCAATGACAGGAGTAGCTTTTGCTGAGTTTCTTGAGAGATGTGTTACACAAATAAATAACCCAGAGAACACCATGTTATCGATTCCAAGTGCATATAAAGCTACTATTGATTACGCTGCTCAAAAGGCACACGAAATTTGTATTGAACGTTATAATGAAAAGATGAACCAAATGATGAACCAACTGAATATTGATGGATCTCCAATTCCTTGGGAAAAGTTTGAAAATACTCATAGCGACGCGTTTGAATCTGCGCATAACGATTTCATTAAACAAATCCTTGGAAGCGCTGATCAAATCCAGTCTTTTCGAGAAAAATTTTGTGATAAGATTACTGCTTTAAAAGATAAATTTTATAAAGAAAACTCTGCTGCCTTAATCAAATATCATGAAGAATGGGCTCATCAACTTTGGGAAGAACATGTCGCTCCTGGATTGGAAATAAAAAATCTTTTTGTAATTAATATATATATTTTTTTTGTTATGTTATTTATTTAAAATTTCTTGATTTGATTTAATTCTGTTTACGCAGGATACGGATGAATTTGAAGAAGCAATTAATTTGTTTGAACAAATTTATGGAACTATAGTTAAACCAGGGCAGGAAGCTGTACAAGTAAATATATAGTTATTTTAGTTGCTATTAATGTTGTTATAGAATTTGAATCATAAGTTTATTATTTTTTAGGTGCTGAACGGATTTAAAGCCAACCAATACGAATATTCCATTAGGCTTTTGAAAAATTATAATGCTTTGCGTGAGGAACGTGCAAATGAAATGTTAGAACGTCAACAAATTGAACGGCAACAATGTGATCTTTTACAAGAAGAAATAAAGTTACGAACAGAAATAATTAATATTAAGGCTGAAAATGAAAAAATTCAGAAACAACTTGAAGAAAAAATAAAGACTATAGAAAAAGGTATTCTCGATCAGGAACAGAGGGAACAAGCGTTCGAGAATTTAAATAATGAGAATAATCGAATGCTTAAACAATTAGACGATTATAATCGTATGCTTAATAAAGTCAATGAAGAAAACCAGTTGAAAGTAAATAGTTTGCAAAACCAACTCACTAAAAATAATCGAAAGAAATCGGATATTTTAAGTGTAGTGAGAGACCTAGGTGTTGCTCTTGCACCGCTTATATTCACCACCATTTTTAATTAGCTATATCTTGTCAACTTATTTTAAATTAGTACAAAGCTAAATTTATCTTGTTTATAAATTGTTCAATGGACTTTGTTTTTTTACAAACCTTTTTTTAGAATTTGTATATTAAAAAGAACCTCAAATTTCCGTTTAGTCCAATTCTATGATAGACAATAATTAGACCCTAGCATAATCGTCTAAAAAAAACATTTCGTTACCAGCGTTAGGGTTTGGGTATTTTTGATTTTAATTTGACTAATTTGACTGGTTAAAATTTTTACGCTAGGGTGGATGATGAAAGCGTACTCATATGACTTAATGCTCATGTGATATATTTTTTGACTATCAATACATAACTAATCAAATTTGATTATTTCTAGTTCAATAAAATTTTTTAATCGGGTTTTTAGGCATTATCTTTTATATAATCTTATGATAGAGTATACCGTTGAAAGTCCTTTTTTTGAGAATCCCGAAAAAAGCACGAGAATTTAAAGAAAATATTGCTCCTTTCGATTTTACGAACCGATAAGTTTTTGATGTCGTTGACTTATTGACTTGGCCATTGAAAAATTTTCCTGCTGTCCCAAAATTTATAAAACAGCTGTAATTGGATTTGATGAATTTATGATTTTTTTATTTGTCTAACTATCGTGCTTGAAGTTGGAATCTGCTTGAAGTTGTGACTTCAAGCGCTTGAAGTTAAACCTGACTGAAATTAGCACCTAAAATTAGATCCTCCTGTATGCATTAGTTAAAGTGCTTGAAATTTCAGCTTCTAGCAGATGTTAACTTCAAGTACGGCTGCTATACTTGTCGTATTTATATGCACATTGTAAAGTTGATATGGATCTAGTGTTTCGGGAGAAAATAAAACATCTTTACACTTTCTGTACTAGATTTGACAATTAGGCGTGGAATGAATTTTCTTATCTCTACTGACGATTATACCTGTGGCCGAAAATTTTCGGCATTTCGGCCACGTGGCAAATATTCAAAGCAAAGTTATCAATGATTTGTAAATGTGATAGAAATTAGACTTAAAGACTAGTGATGCGCCCATGCGCGTGAGAATAATTCGGAGCTTTCGGAATATTTCGGAATCTCAATTCTGGTCTGCATTAGCAGCTAGCTACTATAATGCAGGTCAGAACTCCATGCGCATCACTAGTTAAGACAGATTCGCAGAAAGTTATGCAAGACCTTTTGGTATTTTGGCAAAATCTTTAGTATTTCGGCAGACTCTGGAAGTTTCGGCTATATATTAAGTACGGATTGCCGAAAATTCCAAGGTATACTGAAATACCAAAAGGTCTTGCCAAAATCTTGGATAAGTTTCTGCGGATCTGGCATATGAAGCCTGATTTCTACCACATTTACCAATTATTGATAACTTTGCTTTAAAAATTTGCCACGTGGCCAAATTGCCGAAATATTTCTGCCACAGATATACTGTCAATAAACCTTTATTATCGGGCAGCTTACTATGATTTATCTGCCCAATAATTGGGCAGAAAAAAAGTTTAAAATAGTTTAAAATAGTTTAAACTATCGTTTCTACCCAATAATAAATCATTGAGCAGAAAATTATAGAAAGCTACCCGATAAATCTGTTATCAGGCAGTGCCTGCCTGATAATTATTTACTATTCAATGATTAATTTATGATTTCATTGACGTCTCATTGCCTTATAAAAAAAAGTTTGTTCAGTTATTGTATGCATTGTCCGAAACAATGTTTGGAATGGAGTCGATTTCCGAATGCTAGTACAATATTGTACAATTTATACACTGTGATGTGAAAAAAGAAATTTTGGGGTTGACAACATTAGGTATAAACATTGTACAGTGTACTCGGAAAATCGATTCCGTTCTAAACATGTTTTGAACAAAACAGAATAATTTTAGAAAATTTTAGGCATTGCCGACAAAATTTGGACAAAATTTTTTTATAGGGTTGACATTCGGATGCCAAATATTTATCCACCACAACAACGTCGCGACATCCTTTAACCCGTCTCCTAATTGTAGAGGTCGGCTAAAGCCTTGTGGATCACACCGCGTGATGTCGGGGTTCGAACATTCAAACACCGTTTTTGATTAGTAATATATATAATACATATATTACTAATCAAAATCGGAGTTTGAATATTCGAACCCCGACATCACTCGATGTGCATCCCAGGTTTTTTTTGTGGGTGGCGCAAAATGATGTGACCACAAGGCTTTAGCGTCTCCCTAATTGTAGGACTAATGTGGGCCTATCGATCAGATCATCTCGGTGATACATATGGTGGGAGTAACGATGATAATAATACATGATAAGAAATTATACAAATAAGGGATTAATAGTAAAGAATTAAAAAATGAGTAAATATCAGGGCGCAGAAAGTTATGATATTAACACCGTGCACAAATACTACAAATTATACAACTAACATAATTCTTTATTCTTAGTGTATTCAGCGTTCCAGTGTTCTTTTGTTCTAGCTTTTAAAGTATTCTAGTATTCTAGTGTTTTAGTGATTTAATACCAAATGTTTCAGTAGTAATTTTTAAAATGCCAGTATTTATACGCCTCTCTCAAAATAGAAGCTGTGCCAAGACTTTTTTAGACAAAAATTTTTTATTTGAATTCTTTGAATTTTTAGAATTTATACATCGAATTTGGACATTTATTATTTGTTATATTTAATTTTTGAGCTTTTTAGAATGATTTATGCGAGATGTACAAACATAATTTCCAAAACCATTAAAATCAATAAAAAAGAAATCATTAAGGTACTATATAAAGTGCCATATTTGGAAACACACTTTTGATGGAAATAATATAATGCACAAAACTACTGAACACCCAAACATCAAAACACTAATAACAATACTGAAATGTGCACTTGTGTACCTATAGACACCTATAAAGTTAGATTGAAAATTTCATGAATTTAAACCTTTTTTTCATAATTTAAAAATCATAATGTCATCAAATCCATTTTCTGAAACTATTCCATTTCGTCCAGGAAATCCTACACAGCTTTTGAATTTCACGTGTTTAGATGATGATTATGATGAAGGATTAATTTTGTTAGAAGAGCTAGCACTGAGAATTTTTAAAAAAATTGAAGAACCTATCGCCGTTATAACTGTTGGTAGGTTATAAAAAGTTATAGAATTATAGGTAGCATAATATTAATTTAAATATCGATATGAAGTTGGCTCTTATCGAAGAGGAAAATCATATTTTGCAAACACTCTTCTCGGACGCCATGATGGATTTAAGCTTGGTTCATCTGTAAATGGATGTACCAAAGGTATTGATATTTGAAAAAGCCTAGCATCACCAATAATCGAGGGCGCAGTCACATGATCCGCCGGATTCTCCGGAGTATTATTGTCGGAGATGCTTTGTGTGTACTGTACGTACGTACGTACGTACATATACATAATGATAATTGATTACTAATTAATTGATTACTAATTAATCGTTATACTGTTTTCTTATTTTGCGATAAAGACTTGTAATGGAAAGCGCAAAAGTTCAGACCTCTATGAGTAAAACGAAAGAATGTACAAGGTGCAATTGCACCAAACCATATTCCGATTTTATTTCAAAAAAAAATGAAATCCGTGCTCGTTGCAAATCCTGCTGTGATAATACATCACAATCGAGAAAACGAAAAAGACAAGAAATGAATGACCAAATAATTGAAAAAGAAAATACATTCGATCTTGCAAATATTACAGACTATATTTACGATATACTCTTGGAGCATACAAATCTGAATGAAGACTTTGAAGGTCAAATAAAATTTCAACTCAAATTTAATATTAATTTAGATTCCATTTATGAAGAAGATCCAGTTAGCGTCATTGAAAAAGATAGACATTTGCACATTGCTAGTTTGATCATTAATGCAATTAGTAGTGGTGACGGGTATACATATGTATATCAATCAAAATATGAGAGCACAAAACAAGATTTTGTAGTACTTACATATTGGTGCAATGCTCGGAATGAATTATGTAGGTTTCATAAAAAAGTTGAAGATACTTCAAAGCATCGTAGTACTGAAGCACATATCAAGCGTTATGATTGTAAAGGTGCAATTACAATCAAAATTTATTTTAAAAATAATACTGCGTCCATTAATATCTCTCATGAATTTTTGCATCCACGGTCTGAAAAATTTAACGTAACAAAAGAAATAAAAGATTTTATTAATTCTCACATTCAACAAAGTGTACCAGATATCTATCAGTTGATAAAAGACCAACATATAAATGGATTTGAATTTTTAACAATCCAACAAGTATATTACTGGTGGTCAACAGTTGCACGAATGGAATATCGATCCTCTGATAATGAGGTTATTTCTACAAAAGCATATCTTCAAGAGCAAAAGCAAGAAATTCTATTTTTTAATGATTGTGCTTTTGCTTTTATAACGGCATTTTTTAATATATTGCCAGTAGATAAATTAATGGAATTTATGGTCGATGCAACATACAATACAAACAAACTCAAGTATGAGTTATATGGAGCTATGATGATTATTGACGGTGCCGGATTTCCTATTTCTTACTTATTTGTATCAGCTGGCAAAAATCGCAATATCACAGGCATTATTACTACATGGTTTACAGCACTAAAAGAAAGAGGATTAACAAATATACGCATCTTTTATACAGACAAAGATTCATCTCAAATTAATGCAGCCAAAGCTACTTGGAATAATATAAATATACAATTATGCTTATGGCATATCAAGCGTGCAATCGAACAAAAATTATCATCAAATACAAAAACACAAGTAATTA